ACAGCTTGTCTGGAGTGTGGGCAGTATGGCATTGTATCTGTCTGAGGTCCCCCTCTTCCTCCTCCTCCTCAGACCCCACCCTCAGCAGGCTTCATCCCTAAAATATTCTGGAAGTTTCCAACCTGGAGTTGGCAACCCTATGTCCTTTCCTGGCAACCATCAGCCAACCTTTATCTGCCTGTCTGTCTTAAGTTTTACAACCCCGCCCCCCACAGCCTCTGCCTAGGGAAAGGGCAGCTGACATCATTCTCCTCTCCCCTATGAGGTATGTTATGCAACTGAAAATTCCAACTGCCTTGGGGGGGGGGAGTTTGAGGTGTGGAATGGAGTGAAGTCCAATCAGCTTCCACATGCAAAAGACCTTGAAACGCTGGGCGGGACTGCACAAAGCAGCCAGTCAACCCAGCCAGCGTCTTCTGAGTGGCAGTTCTTCCGGCCAAACACTAAAGGGGCCAAATTTAGAACATTCAATATAGAACGTTGCTATTCAATTATAATAAGGGAGAGATACTTATATAGTGGTCGCTTTCGTTTGGGCTTCATCCATTTTCCGTAAGAACAGAGCAATTCTTGCACTCTATATTATATCCAAACAAGAATGACTAAGTGGAAAAGAAACACTTTTCACAGTCATTTTACTGTGTAGATGAGGTATAATACGCAGTAGTGTAAGCTATAATTTTGTAGTTCTAATGAGCTGTTTGGCAAATCACAGGACTAGAGGTGCTGTTTCTAAAATAAAGCATCAAAGCTGTAAACCGCTTGAGGGAGAGGTGTTAAGACTTTTTAAAAGACACTTGTTAAACATCTGAAATGGTGTATGCTCAATGTAAAGACAAGACTTGTTTCTACTTGAATTACAGTGCAACCCTAAACACAGTTATATCCTTCTAAATCCCCCGAGTTCAATGTCACTCAGTTTAGGATTGCACTTCTATATATGCTACACAATCCAATTTATTTATTTAATTCATTTTTAATACTTGTGTAGGAAGTATTTGCCTTACTCTTGTGGCTTTTGGGGGGGGCACAGTTCTAAAATGTAGAAACTATATAATCTAATATATGTATGTATTTGTATGCCGCCTTTCTCCCCACATGGAATCCAAACACTTACAAAACAAATGAAAACCAAATCCCATTGGAGAAACTAAAGGCATGTGTACAGTTTAGTAAACTAACCTGCATGTTGCATGGTAAAAGGTTCGATAATTTTGATAAATGGAATGTTAATTCTGACTAGCATGGTGAAATAAACTTAATAACATCTATATGTTTTGTTTATAGAATTGGAGCTTTGTATTTAAGCCTTTAAAGCCTCACACGGCCTGGGACCAACATATATGAGGGACCGCCTTTTCCCGTATATGCCCTGAAGAGCACTACGCTTGATGGATCATTACCTCCTGAATTGTCTCGGTGTGTTGCCTTGGCCCCGCCCAGAAATCCGGCAGCCGCGTCTCACCCTCAGTCTGGAGGGAGCCGGTTAAGGGGATGGACGCTCCACCAAGAGATTGGCAACCCCTCCACGGGGGAGAAGGAGGCAGACCTAGTGAGGTAGCAAGCAGGGGGAGCATTCACCTTCGCTGCCCCTCATGGTCCCTCTCCCTTAGCCGCAGTGCTTTGTCAGGGTGATAGCTCAGCGGGCTGCATCACAGAGAAGGCTGCCCAGCACCTTTCAAAGGCTCCCCTGCCTTCCTTTAGTAGCAGCGGCAGCACCAGGGAGGGTCTGGCCTAGAGGAAATGAACTGCGGCTCCTGGAAAGTCGGACTCTCTCCTGAGGAAGACACTTCTCTTGGCTCCTGTGTGGGACTAACTGTGACTAACTGTCTCCTCAGTGGCTGTTGGTAGACAACCAAGCTTGCTTCTGTCAGTAAAAAAAACCCCTCCCCCGCCCACTGCCAGCTTGGCCACTTTCCTGTCAGAATAAACTTAAAATGGCTCTCTCTCTTTTTTGGCTCCACCATGGCTGGCTGGCTAATGAGGTGGGCCAGCGACCATCAAACCATTCTCTTCAACCCCCTGCTGTGTGGCTGACTTCCCCCTAGGGTTGCCAATCTCCAGGTGGGACCTGGAGATCTCCCGTTGTTACAATTGGTCTCCAGGTGACAGAGATCAGTTCCCCTGGAGAAAATGGCTGCTTTGGAGGGTAGACCCTATGGCATTATCCCCTGCTTCCATCCCCCCTACAGGATCCACCCCCCAAATCTCCATGTATTTCCTTAATCAGAGCTGGCAACTGTACTTTCTCCTCAGTGCCTGTTGCTAGGCAACCAGGTTCTGTCAGTAAAAGGCCCTTTCCACACCTATTTTGGCCTTTGGGAGAAAACTCATTGGGGGCAGTCCTGATAGGGTTGCCAACTCCAGGTGGGAAATTCCTGGAGAGGGTGAGGTTTGAGGAGGGGTAGGACCTCAGACAGGTACAATACCAGAATTTGTACAGGATGGAGTGACATACAGTCAACT